CTATCCCCCTTGGTACCACTGAGACCCACCAGCTGAATGTGGTTGATACGACATAGAACCTCCCTGATACTGAGGGTCCTGAGAGTACTGATACTACCTTCAAGTATAAGGAGCGGCGTCGCCCTGATAATGATAGGCGCATCCACGACCAGTTTGAGTATAACCACTAGATCCTGAAGCTTGCTGGGTCGGTGCAAGTAGTAGGAAGGAAGGCTCCTAGGGTCTCTGCTGATACTGAGGGCATTGAACAGCCATGTGACCCATCTATCCACAAGTATAACATCTACCGCTGCCTCTCCTACACTCCCTAAAATGCCTATTATTACACCTGCGGCATAAAGGAGCATCTGAACCACCTGAACTACCAAAGTCTCTCTGCCTCTGAAATCTAGGGCCTCCAGTAAATCTACCACCTCTCATATGCATATTAGAACTCAATCATTCGCTAAAAGAGCTGGAACTGCAACCGCTTCTGTTAAAATTCTAGGTCTTACGAGGTCCCTGAGTTGCTTGCCCATTTCCTTTATCATCTCGCCTCTGGTTCTTATTCTTTTCTTCCTCATCCTCACTTTCACTAGGCATGTTCTTTGAGTCCTCAATCCGTAGTAAAACCTCATAAAACTCATGGTAAGTGACACATGGAGTCGATGTCGCTATAGAATGCCATTTCTTCTTAGTACCCAACCTGAAACGGCGAAGCATCTCGACCGGATTAGCTGCAACCTCCAGATCATATCGAGATAAATCAGTGAACCTCCTATAATACTCATTAGCTGACATATTTCCTTGCTTCAGATGAGTAAACTCTTGTTTCTTACGATCAATGTACTCAGGAGGAATGAACTTTTTTCGAAACAACTCTTTAAATACTCCCCAGTCCGCAATCTCCGCTGGGGTCAACTGGTAAGACTTTTTTCTTCACCAGGATGCAGGTTGCTCCCCTAAAAACTAGGTAGTCGTCTCGACTCACCTATCAGGAGGAAGATTCCCCTGACTCTGCATCACAAGAAAGGTCTTCTCGATATGATTAAGCCATTTTTCCGCTCCCTCATGTCCTTCATTTCGTAAGAAGTGATTCAGCTTCAAATTATACACAATTTCAAGAGGAGTCATCTGAGGAAGACGGAACGCAGACTGAATGGCAGTAACTATAGCTTCCTCTAATTGAGCAATATCAGGGAAACTAGGCTCTGCTGAGTGACGGGGCTCTCTACGAGGCATCATAGTTCTGACATAAGACATCACAAGGATTAGAATATTCAAGAACTATACAGAACTTCTAAACCTAGGCTCTGATACCAAACTGACACACCCCGACCGAGATCAAGGCATGCTGGCCATCACGTGAGGGTGACGTAGCCATGTGCACAGTGTAGAAGTAATAAAGATAAGAAATATACGAATAATTAAAACCGAATCTACTAGAATGCACTACAAAACAATAAGTGATAGGAGTAAGATACAAAAATAAATACTCCTAATCAGAGCATAAAAAGTCCAGGTGCAGTCCAGTAGGACAAGTACTAATTATATAGTACCATAAGATGTCCTACAATTATTTTGATAGGTCAGAACAACCGAAATCCTCAAGGCCACCGACAGCAAGCTTACCTAAAACCTGGAGGGGCTCAAAATAGAAAACGTGAGTGGGCAAAAACAAATATTTTACAAAACCATTTCATTTATCAATATATCTAACCCCTCGCTCTAAAACATGTATAATTTTTCCCAAAATCAAGATATAAGCATATACATAAATATATATATATATATATATATAATTATATCAATTCAAATCATGCTTCACATAATCATATTCATATCAAGATATAACAGAGTAAGCAATTTAGGTAAGAATAATTTCATATAAATATAACATGTTAACCGGAACCCCTATGGTAGTATGTACGGCTAAATTCATAGCTCAAAAGTCAATCTAGCCGAAGTCACTACAATGACCTATACGGCACTATACTGCACAAGAGTAGGAACCAAATGAAAAGCTTTGTACGACAATAATGAGTGTAATATAATCATGCTCAATACTACTCTCACATAATAGCTCGGCGATAAATCGCTAGTCACCTACGAGTCGGAACCACCTAAGATGGTCTGTACGATAGGACTGTGCACCTAAATTGGATCCAATATGAGCATATGGTGCGGGAGGTGACATAATAAACAGGCATGTGTCATAACTCTAGCTAAATCACAATCACCCTAGGTGCAGTTTTATGAGCTCAACATTATTCAATCACATATCGCACCATTGATAATTCACATAACCAAACATAACTCACCTGAGCTTACCTGAGCGTCCATAGCACCACAATTATATATAATGCATCATATACCAATTCATATACGAAATATAAATTCATATGCATGGCATTTAAGGCATACTTTCATTTAAACACATATTTCTGGGAAAATATCAAGTATATAAATATATACTGAAAACCAAAAGCCCACTCACTGGTATGTCAAAGGATCGTAGCCCCCGAGTCGCCCTTGAACACGCTCGTCCTCAGGATAAGTCTCACCTATATGCGAATTAACTATAAAAACATTATTTAAAGCACATAGGCAGAACTAGCTAATAACTTCTCATACAATGCTCAAATGGGGTGTTTGAATATACCAACGTGATCTACACAACTCCATGACCATCCCTATATTTTTAGAATAATTTTCCGACCACCCACGCGCTGCCACGCACTGGTCAAGGCACGGCAATACGCACCCTCACGCGCGGCCACGTGACAGGCATACTGACGGCGTCAGTCAATGCCGTCAGGAATATTCCTTTAAGTCCTAACGGAATCCGTCCAAACTAACTAACGGCGTCAGAATATTTCGTCAGACTTAACGGAATGTTCCATCGTCTCTTACCTCTAAACTCCGACGACCGTCGCCGATACCGGAAAACTGGGAAATTTTTAAACCGTGATATCTCGGCCATTTTTGCACCATTTTTCACGATATTTATACCAAAATGAAGTGCATGGCGAATAGAACAAGTTTATACCTCTTTCAAGCCTTAAAACCACAGGATCTCGTCAGGAAAATTCGAGAAAAACCAGCCAAGCTTCGACCTCTCGATTTCGACGTCCAAAACCACCCAACGAACTTCTCCGAGCCTCTAGAGGGCCTCTCAAGGCTCCATGTGAGCTTAGAATTTCCAAAAACACAAGTTTTTACGTTAGCATGAACAGTGTTCAAATCGAAGATTCTTGGTTCATGAGGTTTTCGAAGGTTTTCATACCTGAAACTGGTATGGATGAGCTCATGGTGAGGAGATGAAGACAATGCAACCAAGCACGATCTTGATCCGTGCGTGAATGGGTGAGTTTGGTGCTCGTCCGTACGAAGAAGGAGGATAGAGAGTGAGTATGAGAGAGAGAGCACGGGAGAGAAGAGAGAGAATGAGGTTTGTGTGTGTGTGTGTGTCCCACGTGGTCACCAACCAACCAAGAACATGACATCCAAGTACCAAAATATGTCACACACATACACTACAATTTCAACGTCTAAGGATAAAACCGTCCCTTCACATCCTCGAGAATAAAATAATACATATCTCCGGGATGGGTTGTGCAAATTGTAAGAGACTTATTGAACACTTAAATAAACACACATTATATGTTTGCTCCCCATATTTTCATTATGTTCCAATTATTCATAATATATATGTCATTCTATTTTCTAGTTTATAATGAAATTATATATCTTTTAAGTATAAACAGACACTTATTTACACGAAATACAATAGATTTACTTAAATCCGCCTAGTTTGCCTAGGTGCCCGTCTAGGCGCTAGGCTCCAATTCACCGCCCAACTAACGTCTAACATCTTTTAGAACCTTATTGTGGATGCAAATTTTCTCCTCCTTGATCTTGGACGATTTTGCACCTACAAAACAACTAGCACCTTAGGTGAAGGCCAAAAGCCTCACGCACCCACGATGAATGGGGGGGACTTTGGCCGAAGAACCTCCGATGCCAAAGTTAGAATTTTAGAGAGAAATAGTGTTTAGAGTATTTGAGATTTTTTGTAAGAGAATTGGAATGATCTTTTGGTGAAAATGGGAATCTATTTATAGGGATAGGGGTGGCCGGCCTAGCTAGGGTTTTTGTGTTTGATTTAGGTTTAATTAGCCAATTTATTTGGCTATTAAACATAAAATGAATGTTTTGGTGGGTTTTGGAATTAATTGGCTAGTTAATTAGGGTAATTAAAAAGGGAAAATAGTAGAAAAGGTGGAGAATAAGATGGTTTACTTTTCTTGATGGGATTGGCCGGCCACTTTAGTAGTTTTAGGTTTGGATGGGTGTTTCAATTGTTAATTAAGGGATTGATTAGGTAATTAATCCCTTAATTAGTCAATTATTATGATTTTAGGAAATATGAAAGGAATAAGTATATTATTTAGCTAATTGATTAGCTAAATAATGAAATGGGAAATATATGAATAAATTAGGTTTTAAGTTGATACCTATTTTGGGCACTTTTGACTTGGTTGAGGGGTAATTGTCTGCTGCTTGCGCTTAGGAATCCCGGTATGCCTCAAGGGTGGTTTTGTCTTCTTTTGTCAAAAATCCACGTGTCGCCTTGTGATTATTTTTGGCTCCACACTTATGTTCAAATGATGATAAAGAAAATAAACAATTCATGTTATGACTTTTGTACGATAAAATAATATCACAATATAGGGCAAGCAAGACTTTCATATTATTAAGGAGCATGAAAGTATCGTAACTAAAATAAAGCATATACTTATAAAATATTGATTCAGCCAATGTAGCCTGCAGTCCAAGTTTTGGGTTGTTAGTTGGCCAGTGATTCATTAATTGGGATTAGTTGAAACCCATGATACCACAAGTCATACAAAGAAAAAGTTGGTTACCATATACTGGTGTGAAATGTGAAAATCCCATTTGATCACAACCACAAAGGTCAACTCCTCCCCCCTCTAATATAATTTGTACTTTTCTCTGCACGTTCTCTCTTATATATCTCTCTCCATCTCTCCCTATTTCTATCCCCATTTCTTACCCTTGGTTTTATGTTGCAACTTTTTCCTTATTCTTTTAATCATCTCTTTCAGTTATATATAAATCTCTCTTTATAGAATCAAAAGGCCCTCATCAGGCAGCATAAATCTAGCAGCTGCCCTCTCTGTCATGGAGAAGTCTTGCAATTCATCGTTGATCAAAGCTGTTACTTCAAAAGAAACCACATACTCATGCACAGAGGAGGAGAGTGGTTGGACTGCTTACTTTGAAGACTTCTCGAACAACAATAATAAAAGAAAAGAAGAAGAAGAAAAACAGGGAGGAGGAGCGCAAAGTTTTGGCTACACCTCTTCTTTGGTTTCTGATGCTGCTTCTGGTGCTGCATGGAAATTAGCTTCCCACAACAATCAAAGCAATGAAGGCTCTATTGGGGTCCCACCCAATAATTTTCCCAGGAAATTAAGCTTCAAGAAAACAAGAACCAAAAAGATTTCTGGTGATGATTTGGAGGACACTGCTAGTTCTCCTGTTAATAGTCCCAAGGTCCCTTTTTTATTTAGAGCCACACATACAAATTAATTGTTCCCTTTTTCTTTTCTTTTTCCAATTTTTGTTAGTTCTTGGGAATTGACTGTTCTTTTGTGGTCTTATTGTTTTTTATATTAGATTGGTGATTTGAGACCAGTTGATATAAATCCCAGAAAGATAGACGATCATCATATGAATATGAATTCTTTGGTACAGTTCTTTTTCTTTCCCTTAATATTTCTTCTATTAATTCTCTCTTGAAAGGAGATTAATTATTTGATTAATTATAATCATTTTGGTTTGGTTCTGATGGTGTTGTAGGGTAATGAGGGGACTAGTGTAGAACATTTTGCAGAGATAGAACAGGCCCATGATGAAAAAAGTAGTGATTGTACGGACTTAAAGAACAAAGGGTTGTGCTTGGTTCCCATGTCCTGGTTGGTGAACTATATTGGTTAATTTCACGCTTTGCAATGAAGAATCTCATCTCTACCTCTCTGCTAGTTGATGCTTCTTCCGTAACTTACTGTATAAAGGAAATATCTGTCCATTAGTGTGTGTATAGTTCTTGTAAGATTTGTGATCATTCTCTCTCTCTCTCTCTCTCTCTCTCTCTCTCTCTCTCTCTCTCTCTCTCTCTCTCTCTCTATATATATATATATATATATATATATTTATTTATTTATATATTTATATATCTGTGTGTGTGTGTGTGTGTGTGTATACTTTCTTCTATAGTCCAAATTTTTCCCAGATCAATCTTCCATCATGTATATACACTCACATGAACTATATATGGTTATCTCATTGACAATATATAGTACTACACTAGCTAATTTATGCATAGATAAATCTTACCATAGTAAATAACTGGAAAATGCTTTTTGGCTAGTCTTATGTTGCTTGAATAAATCTAGTAGCTAAGGCTGGTAAACAGTTTTATTAATTAACTTGAAAAAACATGTCTCAGACTGGAGGTTTTCAGTTGATGCATCTTAATATCAAGCAACCAAATTTATATATATGACGTAAAACGTATTTATCCTTTGGAAGTTGCTCTCAAAACTAAACCCCAAATTCAGCCGTTTAATTATATAAGTAATAAAAGTAGTACAGGAAAGCGATTGTGGTTTATTAACACAGTCATCCAACAAGGCCTGCCTTTTGAGCCCCCATTGCTAAATTTCTTCTCATCGACTCATCCACTCCCATATATAGATATAGTTACAAAAATAAAATATGATATTTTTTTTGTTCATTGGTACAAAAGACATTACTATTCTAAAAGTCATGTTGAGAAAAATAGAAAGGTTAAAACTCGAGACCAGTAGACTAAAGAAAAGTGCCCTATCAACCAAACAAAACACTACACCACTTGCAAATAAAATATGAAGAAAGGGCATGAGAATATATACAAGCAAAGAGCATAAGAATATCGCAACTAAACCCTAAAGGATGTTAGTTCCTTGTACGCTCGAAAAAAGCATTAAAAATAGCTAAAAATAATTAAATAAAAAGAGGAAAAGTAGATTGATAGGGTTATATATTAATTCATCTCCAACCTCTTGCAGGCCAATTCATGTATAAAAATAACTCAGAAACGGCTGCAATACAAGACCCCTCCATGTGCACGAGCACTAAAAGCAGGTGAGAAGGCATTCGTATATAAGATCTAGCTTGCGTAGTTTTGTTTAGAAACAATATTCACAACAGCTACCTATCTGCTTCCTTTGTGTTTTTCGCAAAAGGGTATCTGAATGAAACCTCATTGATATACGTACGCATTGTTGATTTATTCTTTGAATGTCTAAAAATTAGTGATTGTCTAATATGGCGTTGGGTTTTTTTTTTTTTTTTTGGCAGAGATCCTAAGTTTAGTACGGATGTAACTTAATGCATATCATCATCTCATTCTCTGACAGTTTAAAATTCGGGGTCACGTAATGCTATTTGTATTAGATAAGAAAATATATGGTGGATATGACGGAAAGTATATTTCTTTTTGTTTTCTCATCAACCAAACGACGCATTATTGAATATCGATAGCTTTCTTTATCAACAAGAATGTCATAAGTGGGTATTAAGCGACATTTTTAGATAGACTATAGGGATGCTTGTCACTCTAGTCTAGGAAAAGGTTTGTGGTGCATACACGTCTATCATTGGACGAAAAATTATGAGAATATGAGGATAAAGTCCCACATTAGTGAGGGACCAAACCATGCAAAGGCTTATTATAAGAGTTGGGCTAGTTCCCATATTTTCAATTGGTTTTATGGGGGAACCTCAAATTTCTTCATGGTATCAGAGCAGGTTGTCCTGCATGTAAAACAAAAAGGTCACACGTGCTCCACGTTACCGGTTGTGTTGTCCACATGTTCACCATAAGTGAGGGGACATGTTGAAAATGAATCCAACATTGATGGGAGAAGGAACCTTGCATGGGTTTATAATTAAATTGGGCTAGTTCCCATATTGCCAATTAATTTTATGGTGGAATCTCAACTTTTTCAAAAAATAACTAGTAAGGCTACATGAATTGGAAGAACCATGCATGTATAAATAAACTAGATATACAATGTATTTAAATTGACTTCAGATATAATGTAATATTTTGAATGACTAGCTAGGTGCATTGTAAGACATGATAATAATTCAATTAAACAATTTGATGGTTTTAGAGATTAGCAAAATTATATTTTTTAAAATTGGGTAAGGTAGGTATTGTTTCCTTCCAAAAAAAAAAAAAAAAAAAAAAAAAAAAAAAAAAAAAAAAACTTCTAGCTCTTTCGTTAGTTCTACCATACATGATGGCAATGCTACACCATATATATATACTACATGAATATTAAAACGCCAAAAAAAATATATTAAAAAATGAAGTGGCAACAAAAGACCCTAATCAAGTAAATATTCTTTAATTCGTCATCCATAGTTGAAGAAGTTTATAGGCCATACATAGGAAGAATATTGTGGATGATGTGCAACGCTCTCCTTCACAACATATGGCCTACCAATGTATAAAATTATATATGTAATTTATATACAACTATCTATAATTTAATTTGGGCTTAGGTCAGTTGAGTGTGTGTGGCCCTGCCCTTTAGCATATTCACCTCTAATATATTCAAATTGAAGAAAATTGAGATTCCACTAAAAACTAATTGGCAATATAGGGAATAACTGTCACATCTTAACCCAGACCCCCATCACATTCCGTGCTCAACTCCACCGTACCATGATATTGTCTGCTTTGGGCCCCGACCACGCCCTCACGGTTTTATTTATGAGAACTCGCATAAGAACTTCCCAGTGGGTCACCCACCCTGGGATTGCTCTCGTGCGAACTCACTTAACTTCGGAGTTCCTACAGAACCCGAAGCCAGTGAGCTCCCAAAATGCCTCGTGCTAGGTAGAGATGGGAATATACATATAAGGCTTACAAGATCTACTCCACTGAGTGATGTGGGATGTTACAATCCACCCCTCTTAGGAGCCCGACGTCCTCGTCGGCACACTTCCGGCCAGGGATTGGCTCTGATACCAAATTGTCACATCCCAGGCTCGACTCCGCTGTAGCACGATATTATCCGCTTTGGGTCCCAACCACACCCTCACAGTTTTGTTTCTGGGAACTCACACGAGAACTTCCTAGTGGGTCACCCATCTTAGGACTGCTCTCGCGCGAACTTGCTTAACTTCGAAGTTCCGATGGAACCCAAACTAGTGAGCTCCCAAAAGGCCTCGTGCTAGGTAAAGATGAGAATATACATATAAGGCTTACAAGATCCACTCCCCTGGGCGATGTGGGATGTTACAGTAGCCTAACCTCTTAAGCCTTTGCGAGGTTTTTCCTTTCACCAATGTGAGACTCTTTTACCTCACATTCTCACACAAATCCATCATATAATTAATTGCGGACTTCACGCCTATGATTTTTTGTTAAAAAAATAAAATAATTTAAACTAAATTCATCTAAATTACAGAAAAATAGATTCAAATTTAAATGCATAAGTGAATGCATACTATTCGAGCAAACTTGGCTAACACTCAGTTTTCAATCACATGTGATTAATTTAGCTATGTGTGTATAAAGTTTACCAAGTCATAATTATGAATATGACGTGATACCGAGTGCCTAGGTGCTACTTTACGATCTTGTTCTCCAATCTCTCAAAGACACGAAAGATCAAAGCATAGTGCTTTGCTATTTGGGAACCCTCTAATATTTTCATTTGTTTACGTTTAATTGCAGCCAATTCATCACAGATTTAAAATAGGGAATGGGATCAGCATTAGCGTCCAATCCAAAAGACAATTATCTTCAGTTTGTGTATCAACAATTTTTGGCGAACCATTCTGGGTTTAATTAAATTGATTAGCATGCAATCAAAGTTAGGTAATCAATCACATAGTACTTAACGACCACTAATAATGTGATTTCAACTTGTGGAGTGGTAGATTAAAGGTCTAATTCAGTTTATCAATCACTGTCGGCTTAAGAGGATGACATGCATGCATATATGCCTTCTAAAAGACTTATTCTTTCACCACTTTGGATTGCCATTTTCACTCTTTTATCTAAAAGGATGGTTTTCAGAGTTTGCCTGCAAATAGACGTAGTTATCCATTAATTGCAAAGTGTTGTTCAAGTAGGTTTCTTTTTCAACTCATGCATATGGTAATCCCTTAGCTAGTAGGGTCGTGTTCGTAAAGTCTCGTCTTCATGGCTGTTGATGTTTTTGAATTCATATGCTTAAAGCTTTTTGCCTTGACTCTTTTGGGTAATATTATTATTTTTGTTCTTTGAGCGTCAAGGGTTCCTTATTTATTTCTGGTGCGTTAGTTAGTTGTGACGTTTTTATTCATGCAGGTGCTTTTGGATGCACATTACTGGAGAAGATTTAAATGCATGCTCTCCAATTATACATGTGAAATTTTCTCTATTTGTTAAATTCGAATTTCATGTAATATATGCTACGATTAGAAAAAGAAAAATGGGAAGAGACAGATGAAGGGTAAAGCATAAAGCGGATATATATAAATATAGGGAAATATTATTGGCATTCTAAAAATCTCATTTTACACTACTCACAAGTGTATTTTTCTTTCATAATATAGAAAGTTTGGAGTGTAGAATGAGATTTTTGGAGTGCTAATAACAATTCCCTAAATATAAACACTTCCTCAATCTTCTCATTCTTTTTCTTTCTATCATATTTTTCATGATTTTTTGTTTGTGTAGTATTTGAAGGAGGATATTCCACTTTTGAACATCTTCTAATAATATAGATATTTACAATATATCTTCCTAGTGTTAGTACTGGTTTGGTACTGATGTGCTTTTATAAAAAGTGATTATCAAAAAACAGCTTATTTTCACAGTTTTTGGTGAAAAAAAAAAACTGAAAATGTGAAGCAGCAAAAATGAGCTTATTTTCACAGCACAACAGAAGCAGTTTTTTTTCAAAATACAGCAATACCAAACCAGCCCTTAGAATGACTCGGTGCAGCTCCCACTATATTTTGATAAAAGGTTCCATATTTAAAATCTCACATTAAAAATATGTATGATTTACTAAAGTAGATATGTCAAAATACAAGT